TTTTGGATTAAAAAATTATATAAATGTCCAAATTTAGAAAAACTTGAAGCTAAAATTTTTATTCTTAACGAAGGATTAATTTAATTAAAACTTTCTACATATTTCAAAAAGTCAAAATTTAAAATTGTAACGTCAAGGTCAGATTTACAAACGAACTGTAATTGTGTAACGTGCTTTAAGATTCAAAAGCAAAATTTGATTATTTAACGTCGAAATTCTAATTAAACCAAAATTTCGGGTTTAACTTTCTACAGTTTCCTATTAAAATTCAGAGTTCAGAATTAAGATCTCGATTAAAACTTTTAAAATTAGAATTCAAAAGTAAAAACTAAATAGATTTCCCTCATAAAAGCTCAGAATTTAGGGTTCCATAAACATAGAATTTAGAATTAAAAAAAAATTGAAAATAAAAATTGTCTTATTTTTTTAGATTAGCTTAGAAGTCTAAAGCTTTTACCTGAAACTGAAAACCGATTTGATGACTAAAAATTTTATACCTAATTTGTATATTAAAATTTTACTAAGAAAATATTAGTTCTGGATAAATATACAGGGTGAATATGAAGTATGGAACTAAGCGGTTTTTTTAATCATTTGCTTTCAGAAAATAATAATTAATCTAAATTTAAGTAATATAAAAATTGTAATCATATTTTGAGAACGAAACTTTGTTTTGTTTTTGACAAAATTCCAATTTATGTAAAAAAAAATTGAAAATAAAAATTGGCTTATTGTCTCTTAGTTCAGTATTTTCATTATTTTATTTAGGTATTCCAAATATTTTCTTGGAATGGGAATTATTTACTAATTTACACTTTCTAATTTCTAATTCCGATAATCAGCTTTCCTAATTAAGCTTAGACTTAGAATAACTGCTTATATTTTCTCTTTTTTTTTCACAACCAATTTTTCACACAAAATAATTGAAACTAAAAATGATAGACTAATTTAGTACAGCTAACTGCAAAAGTAATGTCAATCGGGTAAAATTTTCAATGTATTCCTGGTTGCCATAAAAATCCAAGGTTCAGTTTTAAGGTGAGCCAATTCCACTAAAGTAGGACTTATCAATGAAATGTCTTGTCTCCCTTGTTCCCTTTTCTCTAAGAAAAATCAATTAATTAACAAAGTGTGAATTGTCCGATTTGTGAGTTAATGAACTTTCTTTATGGAGGTCATTGTTGATGTGGGGCAAGGTCGCCCATGCCTGCCGGCAAGTAATTGAAACGAAGACGCCTACACCTCATGTTGTGACAAAAACAGTTTGATTTTCATTAAATTAGTGAGTACTTGTTTGTACACGTACCTACGTCTCAGTAATTTAATTGGCGTGGTGTATCGCCGGCTTTCGACCTCGTTATGGTCTTGTCAGTGGGACACGCCTTGAGCTGTCTTATTATTACTCATATATTTAAAGACGGAGCTTTTCACTGGACATTTTTTCACCTGGTTATTGTAAACCGTGTTTTTAAATCCGGCGAAGAATGCACGTAGGTGTCGATCAAAACCTACTAAAAGTAATTGTTTGTCATTTATCAAGAAACAGTTAAACGAGTCCGAATAAAAGCTTCATCTTGGCAACATAATCGCGATTTTATTACACCATAAAATGCGGAAGCTATTTATTACCATCGACAAAAATATCTAACCGCCTGGCAGTTAGGCAACTTA